CAGCAAGAAAGCCTGGACTACAGAACATTCTTGGCAAAATATTCCATGTGGAGGCAGTGAAAAATAACTATAAAAATCTGCAAAGGGAGAAACTACACTAAAAGAAAGGCCAATCAAAAGAGAAACCAAGTCAAGGTAAAAACCAAAAATAAACCAAAATGACTGGGAATACAAACCATATCTCAATAATAGCCCTTAGCGTCAATGGCCTAAATTCATAAATTAAAAGGCATACACTAGCAGATTGGATTTCAGGAAAAAAAAAAAGACCCAACAATATGCTGCCTTCAAGAGACTCATCTCACAGGAAAAGACATCCACTGACTGATGGCGAAAAGATGGGGAAAAAAATTATCACTCACATAGACCATGTAAACAAGCAGGGGTTTCCATCCTCATATCAGATAAAGTGGACTTCAAACCAAAGTTAGTAAAAAGGTATAAAGAAGGTCATTTCATACTACTTAAGGGAATCATATATCACTAGACATAATAATCATAAATATCTATGCCCCAAACAATGGGGTATCTATGTATATCAAACAAACACTTCTCAACTTCAAGGATCAAATACACTATAACACAATAATACTAGGTGACTTTACACACCTATCTCACTACTGGATAGATCTTCCAAACAAAAATGAAACAAAGAAACTACAGAACTCAATAAAATAATCAATAATTTAGAATTAACAGATGTATATAGAATATTTCATCCATCAACAAGCAAACACACTTTTTTCTCAGCAACACATGGATCCTTGTCCAAAACAGACCATTTGTTATACCACAAAGCAAGTCATAGAAAATACAAAAGAGAGAGAGAGAGAGATACTACCCTGCATTCTATCAGATCATAATGGAATGAAATTAGAAATCAATGATAAAATTAAAAATAGAACCTCCTCCAACACCTGGACTAAATAATACACTATTGAATGACCCATGGATAAAGAAGGAGAAGACATGAAATAACCAAAATTAGGGCTGAAATCAATGAAATTGACACAAAAGAAACAATTCAAAAAATGGACAAAACAAAAAGCTGGTTCTGTGAAAAAAAAAAAAAATTCATAAACGTTTAGCCACCCTAATGAAAATAAGGAGAGAGAAACTCGAATCACTAAAATTTGTGATGACAAAGGAAATATCATGACACTAGTGAAATACAGAAGACAATTAGAAACCATTTTGCAAATTTATACTACAGTAAAATAGAAAACCTCAAAGACACTGACAAATTTCTAACTGAACCAGGAAGACATACACAACTTAAACAGATCAATTTCAAGCAAAGAAATAGAAGACACCATCAAAAGCCTACCAACTAAGAAAAAACTCCAGGACCAGATGAATTCTAAGCTGAGTTCTACAAGACCTACAAAGAAGAATTAATATCAATACTCCTCAAATTATTCCATGAACTAGAAAAGGAGGGAACCCTTCCAAACTCATTCTATGAGGCTAGTATCAACCTGATACCAAAAGCAGACAGAGACACATCAAAATATCAGACCAATACCTGCTGAGAGCCACAGCCGAGTCGGAATGGCCCCTGGCATTTTGCCAATAGTATTGGTTGAGAGGCAAGCCATTAAGATGATGCTGGATTGATTCGATTGTATATTAGACCTTTACTGTCCGCCTCAGCCTGTTACTTTGGAGTTCTCGAGCTACTTTGGAGTTCTCCTGGGGATTTCCGGAGAGTTCCCATTGGTTGGGGAAGTGCGGGAGAAGGGATTTCCGGAAGAGGGATTTCCAGTTGTTGGTTCCTGGAGGACCCACGTGGCGTTCGGGAGAGTTCCTGGGGAGCGTGTGTGGAGTGTGCTGGTGGAGTTCAGAAATAAAGTTTTTTCCTGCTTCAGTGGCTCGTGATTTGTGCCCAGCCAGCCTGCGGCAAATACCCTTGATGAACATAGATACAAAAATTCTCAAAAAAATTTTGGCAAATCTCATACAAAAACATATTTGAAAAATAGTGCACCATGATCAAGTGGGGTTCATTCCAGGGATGCAAGGTTGGTTCAATGTACAGAAATCAATAAACATAATCCATCACATCAGTAGACTTAAAGATAAGAATCATATGATTATAACAATTGATTCAGAGAAAGCATCTGACAAAATACAGCACTCTTTTATGTTCAAAACACTAGAAAAACAAGGGATAGTAGGAACATACCTCAACATCGTATGCTAAACCCAAAGCCAACATCATCCTAAATGGAGAAAAATTGGAAGCATTCCCTCCAAAAATAGGAACAAGACAGGGATGCCCTCTTTCACCACTTTTATTCAATACAGTCTTTGAAACTCTAGCCAGAACAATTAGACAAATTAATAGGATACAAACAGTACAAGAAGAACTCAAACTATTTGCTGATGACATGATTCCACATTTGGAGGATCCAAAAAAAAATCTCACCACAAAACTTCTAGAATTAATAAATGAATTCAGCAAAGTAGCAGGATATAAAATCAAATGCATTTCTATACATCAATGATGAATCTTCTGAAAGAGAAATTAGGAAAACTACCCCATTCACAGTATCCTCAAAAAAAACACTTGGGAATCAATCTATCAAAAAAAGTGAAAGACTTTTACAATGAAAACTACAGAACATTAAAGAAAGAAATTGAAGAAGACCTTAGAAGTTGGAAAGATCTCCCATGCTCTTAGATAGGCAGAATCATTATTGTCAAAATGGCCATATTACCCAAAGCGCTGAACAAAGCCAATGTGATTTCAATTAAAATTCCAACGTCATTCCTTGTAGAAGCAGAAAAAACAATCATGAAATTCATTTGGAAAAATAAGAGACCCAGAATAGCCAAAAGAATCCTTAGCAAGAAGAGTGAAGCAGGAAGCATCACAATACCACACCTTAAACTATACTGCAAAGCATGGTATTGGCACCAAAGCAGACATGTAGAACAATGGTATAGAACAGAAGACACAGAGACAAACTTATATGAATACAGTTATCTCATACTAGGCAAAGGCACCAAAAACATACCTTGGAGAAAAGATAGCCTCTTCAACAAATAGTGCTGGGAGAACTGGAAATCCATATACAGCAAAATGAAACTAAACCCCTATCTCTCACCTGCACAAAACTCAACTCAAAGTGGATCAAGAACCTAGGTATTAGACCAGAAACCCTATGCCTAATACAAGAAACAGTAGATCCTAAATCCTCATCATATCAGATTAGACCCCAACTTCCTTAACAAGACTCCTAAAGCATAAGAAATAAAATCAAGAAACAATAAATGGGATGGATTCAAACTAAAAAGCTTCTTCTTGGTAAAAGAAATAAAGAGGTGAAGAGAGAGTCCACATTTTGGGAGCAAATTTTTGCCACACGTATGTCACAGCATTATCTCCAGGATATATAAAGAACTCAAAAAACTTAACACTAAAAAAAAATAATAATAATAATAAATGGAAATGGGCCAAGCAGCCGAACAGACACTTCTCATAAGAAATACAATCGATCAACAAATATATGAAAAAATGTTCAACATCTCCAGTAATTAAGAGAACTGCAAATGAAAACTACTCTAAGATTTCATCTCACCCTAGTCGGAATGGCAGTTAACAAGAATACAAGCAACAATAAGTGTTGATGAAGATTTGAGGAAAAAGACACACTCTTAGACTGCTGGTATAATTGCAAATTGTTGTAACCATTCTGGAAAGCAGTGTGGAGATTCCTCAGAAAACTGGGAATGGAACCACCATTTGACCCAGTTATCCCACTCCTCAGTTTATACCCTAAAGACTTCAAAACAGCATACTATAGTAACACAGCCACATCAATGTTCATAGCAGCTCAATTCACAGCTAAACTATGGAAGCAACTTAGATGCCCTTCAATAGATGGATGGATTTAGAAACTGTGGTGTATACAAAACAGAATAAAAATCATGGCATTTGCAGGTAAATGGATGGAGTTGGAGAATATCATGCTAAGCAAAGAAAGCCAATCCAGAAAACCAAAGGTGGCAGGAAAGATGGTAGAATGAGATGGACATCATTACCATAGGTACATATTCGACTGTACTTTTGGTGCGACTCTACTTTGTGTACAACCAGAGAAATAACAAGTTGTGCTGCAATTGTGAACAATGAATTGAAATGCATTCTGTTGTCATGTGTAACAAATTAGAATATATATATATATATATATATATATAT